TCACTGTATATATATACGCATCATGTACGCACACGCTGTACACACACTATATGCACATGCATGCATCATGCACGCATCATGCACGCGCCATATGTGCACGCACACACATAGACACGCAAGCACAAACGCACACGCAAATACATGCAAGCATGCCTAAAATAAATCGCAAGCACAGATGTACACAATTACACACACAATGCACAGAGATGAATGTCTCCCAGAGCCTACATAAAACGTGCAAGGGCTGTTAGCGAGCGCCTATTAAAGCTGGCACGGCACACGAGGGAGTGGAGTGGCCAGGAACACACCCGGCTGCCTTTGTCTTCCCAGCAGTGATGTTTACACCGCTTCAAGTAATAAACTCACACAAACCCACATACATAAACAACAACAATAACAACAACCATTTGCCTCTAAGTGGTGATGATGTCACCACAGCGCTTGTGCTAGGCTAGGTGCCCTTTGAGGTTATGTCAAGTAGAGACGGCTCACTGGCAAGATATATACACAGATGTGGAGTGAGTCCAACTGAGTCGCAGACGTTGTTCCTGTTAGAGGCAACACATTTATTTGTAACACCGTAACACAAAGGGGTAACTGCCCCTTCACCAGATACAACCTAGGGTGGTGACCACCCAGCTAACTACACTATACAGGAGAGTTACTGCTACGAAGGGTCGGACCCTCACTCGGGTCTCCGACCACGTGATTCCACGTAGGACGAAGCGCTTCCAAGCTTGAGACGCCGAGCTTCCAGCTTGGAGGTGTTGAGCTTCCAGCTTATACAACGCAGCGACCCCGGTCCCTCTCAGGGACCCGCCTTATATCCCCCTACGGTCAGGGCCGCTCCACCCTCGGCCCCGCCCGCCTTCCCGAGCATTCTCGTTCCCTCTCGATCCTTCTCAAGAGCTCCCCCCCGGACACGTGATCACCCACTAGCCCCCCTACCTTGGGCCCCCTTGTGTGGACACTCCGGATCACGTGTCTACGGGGTCAACCAGAGTGCCATGGCCCGGGGCAACCCTGCCCCTGGGCTGACGCTCAACCACTCCCCCTCGTGAGAGCCCCCACCACACGCTGTGCGTGGTGCCCGCACTATCCCTGTGCTCACCAAGCCCCGCTCGGGCTGGTACTACTCACAGCCACCCACACGGTGCTGTCCACGATGTAGGAACATCGAACGGCACGGCCCTTATGGGCAGGCACCATACAGTGACATCCCCGATGTCACTACACATGCACAAAAGTGCACATTTAAAAAAAAACATAGGGGAAAATATACGTGCATGTCCACAAAGACAAAGATCCCCCGTATGGGGAATTGCTGCGAGCGAGCACGTACGAAGGCCGCCGTGGCACATGGGGGGTAGGTGGCCGTCCCCACGCCCGGCCGACTTTGTACCCGAGTGGCGATGTTTACACATTGAACCAGGTACTCATTTGACGCCGAGTCAACCTAGTAGGAAGCCCAGGACTGGTTCAGATATTCGTCACCAATGTTAGCCGTGAGCGGGAATCGAACTCTGGTCGCCGGGTTCGTAGCGCAGCGCGCGAACCACCGCGCCACCGCTCTCCACCTTCACGCTCGCCCACCCATACAACTCTAGCCACGGGCACTGCACAAAGACCCTCCACCTTCCCACTCGTTGCACCATTACAGCCGGCCGGCTCGGCCGTGCTGTGACACGCACGCGCGTGTACCGAGGAGGAGGCTTAAATAAAAATATAAAAAGTGCTTCGGCGGCACTCCAGCTGTGATGCGGCCGCAGCTCAGGGGCATCATCACACTCGAGCGTGACAGCCGCTCGCTCGCGCGGCGCATCCCGCGTCCTCCCGCGCGCCCTAAGTGCCGCACCGAGTGAGCTCTTAAGTGACTGCCAGAGAGACGTTACATTGCTTTACTCACGCAGGGGAGACTCGCGGGAGACTCGCGGGGGAGACTCGCGGGGGAGACTCGCAGGGGAGACTCGCAGGGGAGACTCGCGGGGTCTCGCGGGGGACTCGCAGGGGACTCGCAGGGGACTCGCAGGGGACTCGCAGGGGACTCGCAGGGGACTCGCGGGGGTTCTCGCGGGGGTTCTCGCGGGGTCGACTCGCAGGGGAGACTCGGGGGGGACTCGGGGGGGACTCGCGGGGGACTTGCGGGGGACTCGCGGGGGACTCGCGGGGACTCACGGCGGGGTCCGGGGGTCTCGCGGGGTCTGGGTGCTCGAGGGGTCTGGGTAGGACTGATGGGTAACTGTGCTACGAATCGTAGGACGCGGTTGTGGGAGTGTGCTGCCTTGGGAATGTTTGGCCGATTCCTTTGCAAGGAATGTGCTTTCGTGTCAGAGGAAAACAACGATACCCGGAGAAAACCCAAGGTGCGTGTGAGAGGATACCACTTAAATGCCCACAAGGACGGGTTCATCAACCGACTTGCTGTACTGCCAACCTGTACATGATCCACCAACCCTCGTTTCCAAAGTGGCGGATCGCAGGCGAGCGCGCCACCTCGCCGTGCTGACACACACCGGCCACCGCGACGCTCGCTATACGGTCACCACTACCGCTTTCCTTCCCACCGTGGGGAGAGAGCGAGTGAGCAAGAGAGAGCGAGAGAGGGAGAGAGAGGGAGAGAGTGTGAGAAAGAGCGAGCGAGTGAGAGAGCGACAGTGATCAAGAGAGAGTGCCAGTAAGAAAGCGCCAGATTGAGACAGCGATAGCAAGAGATTGAGAAAGATAGAGAGTGAGAGAAAGAGATGAAGAGAAAGTGAGAGATTGAAAGAGTGAGAGGGGAGTGAGGGGGGAGAGTGAGCGAGAGAGTGAGAGAGAGAGCGAGAGATTGAGACAGCGATAACAAGAGATTGAGAGAGATAGAGAGTGAATGAAAGAGATTAAGAGAAAGTGAGAGATTGAAAGAGTGAGAGGGGAGTGAGAGGGGAGAGCGAGCGAGAGAGTGAGAGAGAGCGCCAGATTGAGACAGCGATAGCAAGAGATTGAGAGAGATAGAGAGTGAGAGAAAGAGATTAAGAGAAAGTGAGATATTGAAAGAGTGAGAGGGGAGTGAGAGAGGGGGGAGCAAGCGAGAGAGTGAGAGAGAGCGAGAGATTGAGACAGCGATAGCAAGAGATTGAGAGAGATAGAGAGTGAGAGAAAGAGATTAAGAGAAAGTGAGAGATTGAAAGAGCGAGAGGGGAGTGAGAGAGGGGGGAGCAAGCAAGAGAGTGAGAGAGAGCGACAGATTGAGACAGCGATAGCAAGAGATTGAGAGAGATAGAGAGTGAGAGAAAGAGATTAAGAGAAAGTGAGATATTGAAAGAGTGAGAGGGGAGTGAGAGAGGGGGGAGCAAGCAAGAGAGTGAGAGAGAGCGACAGATTGAGACAGCGATAGCAAGAGATTGAGAGAGATAGAGAGTGAGAGAAAGAGATTAAGAGAAAGTGAGAGATTGAAAGAGCGAGAGGGGAGTGAGAGGGGAGAGCGAGCGAGAGATTGTGAGAGAGAGCGAGAGATTGAAAGAGCTCTGCAGCTTCAATCGCAGCAAAGCTCCCCCTCAGGGCTTTCTGATCATTACCGTCACAAGACTCCCCCACCTGCTGTTTGGGGCGTGACACATCTCCCGGCTGAAAATATAATAAAAAAAAGTAATAACAAAACAAAAGCGCCTATATTTACACGCGATTCATCCTCTGCCCGTGCAGCATCACAATTTCCCGGTCGGATGACAACTCGCGGGGCGCCGGGCCCTCCCCGGCCCGCGGTGGGGGCCTCCCCGTGGGATCTCTGTACAAATCGGCCCTTTTTTTTTCACGCCGCGCCTCGCCAATCCTGACAGTGTAAGTGGCGAGCGATTATGTCGGCCCGGCGCGGTGGGAACGCGCGTTTTTTTTTTTGTTACGCTGCGAAGGCGATCGTGACGCGAAGACCGAGAGGGGGTGGCCCGCGTCGTCGAGATGAGTTCGCGGGGCGTAGATTCAATCGCTCGCTCGGCCGAAATTAGGGTGCGCGTGTGCGCGCCGGAAAAACTCATTACAACGCGGCGAGGCAATCCGCACATTTAACTCCCGGAACGCCTCCGGAATCCGTCCGACGCCGACGACAAATTGCATTTCAGCCGGGCCTATTACATCCGCACCGTCTGACATCACAACGCGACCCAGCTCCACCCACCCTCTCCACAATATTCACCGTGCCCAAGTAAAAATAAACTTAACACTCCGTATATTCCGGTGAAGGCTGGCCGGTATGAGCGTCGACGTCTGCATTTCCTCTCGGTGACGGCAAAGGCGAATTCCGGTGATGATTTTATATTAAGCCGCTATTCGTGATCTGCGATGAGTGGGAGCAGCGGCAGCTTGAGCCCTGTGATTAGGGATGTTCCGGTGCCATCCGCCCACCCCTTTCCGCCACCCACCCCCCACCCCCCCCATCATGGATCGCGTGCGAGGCACGAATCGCTCAGCAAGCGACAATGCCTTTGGGTTTCGTATTTTGTATTTTCTTTCTCCCGGTGGAGTCCCGTCACAAGGCCCTCGACTATTTTTACCAAAGGAACAGCTGTTCCCACAGCTCCGCAAACAAGAAAATCCCAAGTTCAATTAGAGGGATCCGTATGGCCTCCCTCGTGAGTGCAATGATTATCCCCCCCCTCTATCCCCCTGATGAGAGGAAATCCACATTCCACACGCGTACAGTTACATAATGATAATAACGACGTGAGGTTAGGATTCCGGCAGGAGAGGTGGAAACGAGATGCATCGTGAGGTCCCCAGTTCGACCCCTGGGCAGTGGCGGAGCTGGTTCCGTACGGTGGACGGCGAGGATGTAACGCGGTCTCCTCACCGCCACTCATCGGCAGCCTACAGGCGTCTCACGCTCACCACTACACCTCTCTACAGGTGTCACGCTCGCCACGACTCGTGCAGCCGTCGCATCCGCCGGCGACCTACAGACATCACCACTCGCCCTCCGCTGTCACAAGCGTCACGCTTGCCACCGCTTCTTCCGGCGTCGCACTCACCAGCAACCTGCAGCCGGACGGTGGCCTCAATGTCGCCCTGCATGGAGTTGGAGGCGGTGCACGAGTAGTCGCCCTCGTGCGAGGCGTCCACCTTCCGGAAGACAAGCGTGCCGGCCTCCTGTGCCACGCCGGGAGGTAGCAGTGCACCGTGGCCTGCTCCCCGCATACACACGAGGGCACACGGGGACACGTGGTGACACGCGGTGGCACAGTGAAATAAGGACACAGTTGCAATCTGAGAAGCTGCCCTGGTTGACACTGCGGTGTGTATTAACCAAAAAAATACTACGCGCCGTCTGCTTCACAAAAGATACCCCCGTAACGTCACTCCAAGTGGAGTAGGCCATTATGTGCTGGCATCACGATCCAAATTTGGTCATTTGAAAAATCACTCTGGTTCTGCTTCCACACCCCTCCATGCCTCCCCGCACTTCTCCATCTTCCCCACATCTCCTAGTTCCTTCCCCGTTCCTTCCCCGTTCCTTCCCCATTCTAACCCCGTGCCGAGTGGGCCCCGGGGAGGGTGGGGGAGTGAGGGAGGGGGTACCAACCCTGTCTGCTCCACGTGATGACGGGCGGCTCACGGCCCGTAGCTGAGCAGTGGACACTGCTGCTCTTCCCCAGCTCCAGGCACTGGTGCAGCTGCGGCGTCGGCGTGAACTTGAGGTTCGCTGGAACAGAACGAAAGCTGGTGTGATCGCGAGTCTGAGATCGTAAACTCCCCAGGAGCCCCGTGGAATCCCACGCCCACATCTTAACGAACCGCGCCGAGACCATACACAAATGAATAAATAATCCGGGAAGATTTCCAACGGCTTCCCATTAAAACACACGACTGCATCTGCATCCTATTAAAACACCGAATTACAGCGCAGAAAACTCACGTACGCTCACGCTTTAATTCAGCAGGGCCGTATTTTGAAATTAGTAATGGTCCTGTATTTATTTATGGGCCACGTTATGGCTACAACCGAAGGGCCCCCAGGGGCTGGAATTGAAGTGCTGATGTCATTTCAGGCAGGAATGCGAAACGTGGTTAAGCAAACGTTTAAGCGCAGTTATTTTACGCGACGCCTCACCAGACTAAACGCAGCCCACGCATGCTTACAAAGATCCGCCTATATAACCTTTAACAGACAGTTGGGGCAAGTGCTGTTAGCGAGCACCTATTAAGGCCGGCACGACACATGAGGGGGTGGGTGGCCAGCAAAACACCTGGCCACCTTCATCTCCCAAGTGCTGGTGTTTACACACCATACCAGGTACTAATTTTAGGCTGAATCGACCTAGGACCGCTTCACATATTTGCTACAGTTATTGGTCGTGAGCGGGAATCAAACTTAGGTTGCCGAGTTCGTAGCACAGTGCACTAACCACTGGACTACCGCTCCCCACTGCACTCACACGCAAAGACACACACACACGTACTGGCTGTGTTAGTGGCCAACAGTTTATTTGGCCACAAACTGAAGTTGACTGTATGGGTCAGAGAGCTGGACTTTAACAAAGGATGCTGGGAATTCCACGGCGGGATAGGCTGAGCAACTTCGAGATTCAGAGTATTACACGGGAAGAACGTGGTGGAAGCACGTAATCAGAAAAGTGGAGGCTGTGCAGGGTGGAGAAGAAGGGCAATTGATCGAGACGGGCATTGCAATGATACCCAGAGGTCACCGACCAAGGAGAATAGAAGACAAAGCCAGACGGTGGTGGCGGCGATGAAACTGTAAGTACGGTCCCCATGGAGGCCGAGCGCCAACTTTGCAACAACTCCGGGATCGACTAGAAGGAAGCGTCGGCAAGGTGTTGGACGCGACAGACCGACGGCGTTAGATGCGACGACCTCTTGACCTTGACAGTGTGGATACAGGGACGTGCTCTGAGAGAGTGCACGCGTGTGTGTGCTCACCGTGGAGGCAACACTTAACGCACGGCGGCACGTGAAGCGCTTCGTGCGAAGGCGCTAAAAGATCCCGCGATCGAGCGCTCTCTGTGGTGGGGTGTCAACGCTCGACCCTCGCGTCGGGGCGCGGGGGGGGGGGATCATTAATCAGCCATTGAAGGGTGCGTCAGACTCGTCGAGCGACGGCCAGGAAGCTTTTAACGATCACGCCCACGACCGCAGTGTGCGCACGCCACTCTCCGTGGCCGCACGGCACAATAGCCCAACACGCAGCGCGGGCATCTTAATAGAAACGCAAACACCTGGATAAAGTTACAGGCACCCCCCCCCCCTGCCCGAGGAGGGCCGGTGGGCGTCTTCTACCCACGATGATTAATCTGCCCCTCTACATCCAATTAACTCTGCCTGGTCAGTGACCTCAGATGAGCTGCGCGCGGAGGCACGATGAGGGGACACAATGACCTTCGCTTCCGGTGACCTACTCAATCACAGCGTGAAAAAGGTCAAGAGGTCACCACGACCGGCGCCGGTGACGACCGCCACGCCTTGCCATCGCGCTTACTTCCGCGCGCGTGCAAATCCTATTAGGGGAAATTACGCCGGTTTTTATGTCGGGTGTAATTTAGTGACTTAGTGACGCGGTTGGCGACGTGGCGATTGCTTTTTGCCAAGCCCGCATTCATCCGCACGTCCAGCCTCCCCGCGAGGCCCGCTGCTCGATACGATGCCGAGACGTTGCGAGGTTGCCGCCCCTGCTGCAGGCCGCTACGTCAGGGCCATCGGGTTTTAGGAGCCTGGATAATTAAGCCGGGCTGAGTCACGCAGCGGGATAATCTTTCGCGTCGCGGCGGTTTAAATTAGCTTAGCGGCGATGCGCACGAGCGGCAGTACCTCCCGTATGTCCCTTGCAATTCGAAGGAGCCACATCCTCAATCGACCGCACACAGCAAACCGAATGGCTTCTCCCAATAAGGTGACCCCTCGGCTACTAAAACGATTATAAAATAATTATCTTAAGAAACGATCGGCAGCGAACGGCAACAATAAAAGACGACGATCGTGGACGGCATGCTGGAAGGGCTACGAGGAAGAGCAGCAGCTGGACGGGGGATAGGATCTGAAGAGCAATAGCTACACCGGAGGCGGGAAAAGCGAGAGGGGGGGGGGGGCGGCACGGCCGATCGAATTGGATGGAGGGGGGGCCTCGTGATGGCCACAACGGGAACTATTCCGGAAAAAGACGAGATAAAACGATGACAAAGATCACAAGTGACGAGTTCGGGGAAAAAAATTCCACCTAAGCGCACGGCGAGCGACCGTCGCCGCACCGCAACGTTCCGGCACTCACGGCCGACCGTGCATGAGTGCCGCGGCCCAAGGCACGGCCCGATGGGAGATTAATTGAGACGGAACAGGTTCTGGAAATGAGGCGAGAAGACAAACGAGGGTGGGGAGGGGACAGACGGGGGGGGGGGGGGGGGGCGAGGGGGGCGGTAAGGAAGGGCGTGCGCTGGCAGGCGAGGAGCGGAGGGAGTGTGGATTTGCGTGCGCGCCCGGTAACCCAACACGCGGGAACTCGGGTGCGGGAAAACCTGTTCGTCCCACCTGCGCCGCGGCAGTGGCGGTGGCAGGCACACAATAGCCGCCCGCCTTCGGCCTGCGTACCGGACAAGCGGAGCGGGCGGAGCGGGCGGAGCGGGCGCCTCGCGCGGACAAAGCGGCCAGGGCGGGGAAACGTATCGCCACGTCTCGTTTTGATGGAGACTCCTCGCACGTGAAAGCGCTCGCCCCGCTCGAGAGACCGCACCCCCCAAGCCTTATTGACCATTTGCAGAGAAACAAAATGAGCCGCCCCAAGCTATTTTCACTCCTTTGACTTCGTCTCAGCTCATTTCCGCAGCTTGACCTCTTTCCCCCACTTTTAAAATTCCTCCACAAACTAAAAATAAATGTACGGTGTTTGTGTTAGGTGGGTTTAAAAGGGCTGACGGATTGCTCACGGAGGCCGGGCGGTTGGCCCGTTGGTTGGTGTGTGTGCTTGCCAGGTGGTTGACTGGATGCCGTCCAATTGACAGCTTGCCGTTGCTGCTTTGAGAAGACCGAGGTCAGTGATTGAGCAAAGCCAAAGACCAAACCGTTTCCGATAGACCGAGCTGTATTTGGTAGACCAAGCTTTAGGCAGCCTTGTGGAATTATCCACAACCTGGTGAGTGAGAGGGTTGGCTGCTCTGGTGAGGAGTGAGTGATGTGGCTGCCCCGGTAAAGGTTGAGTGACAGGGCTGCCCCGGTGAGGAGTGGAGCGAGTGAGCGACGCGGTTGCCATCGTGAGGGCCGAGTGACAGGACCGCCCTGGTGAGGAGTAGAGTGAGCGAGCGAGTGAGCGAACGACGTGTCTGCCGTGGTGACGAGCGGGGCGAACGACGACGACTGCTGCTGGGACGCCACGGCGGGCCTCCCCGTGCGCGGGGCCTCACCGAGCACGTGCACGCGCGCCGCCCTGGTGATGGAGCCGGCGGCGGTGCTGCTGTTGCAGGTGTACACCGTGCCGTCGTACACCTCCACCGCGTTGATCCGCAGCGTGCCGTTGGGGAACACCTCGAACCGCCCGTCCTGCTGCACGGCCGCACACGTGGCGCAAACCGCCGCAAGCGGCGCAGACAGCACGCGCGGCACAAACCGCACTTGGCACAACCGCGAAGGGCCGTCCGACGCCGCGGACGCGAACGGGTTTCCTTGCACGCGAGCGCGACGAGTGGCTGGCGCCTGCTTCACGCCGGAGACACTTTGTTTTTACCGTTTTACAAACGTTTGAGGGATGCTGACGCCATTTTAATGAACGACGAAACGACCGTGAAGTTCCAATTTACACCTTTAAACAAGACCAGCGACTGTGCGGTTTATTTGGACAATGAAAGCGCCAGTATCGTTTTTGTTTTGCTGTCCGACAGAGAATGTTCTCGTCTGTCCCAGCTGTCTGGAAGGAATTCTACTCGTCTGTCCACCTGTGTGTCTCAGAATTGATTTGTCCATCTTGTTACCAACATGTGCCACAATCTGTCTATATGCCTACATGTGTGTTCATGTGTCTGTCTGACAATATTTCGGTCAAACTTTGTCTCCGTCTCTCGTTCACTCTACCTGGTCTACATACTTCTCGGCGATTTCCATTCCACTGCCGGACGAAGGCCCCTCCACGTAATGCCAGTCGCGGGGAGGATTGTTAAAGTCGTACTTAACAAGCACGTTACAAATTCTACAGCGTTTTCATCATGTGGGCCCCCCCCCCGCATCACCCTGTGTCACAACCCCCCTGCATCACCCTGTGTGCCCGCCCCCCCCCTCCCACACGTCACCCCATGTTGCCCCCCTGAGAGGAATGAGGAGAGTGGCGCACGTACCACTGAGATATCGAAGTTGTTCTTGTACCAGGCGACGTGTGGGGTCGGCGTGGCGTTGGTGGAGCAGTGCAGGAACCCCGGCTGCCCCTCCTGCAGGGCGCTGTCCACCGGCGGCATCACCCACACCGGCACGGCTGCGGGGGTTGGCGGATCACGCAGAGATTGTGGTGTGTGTGTGTGAACTTTCCCCTATAATCCGCATTGCTGCCCGACGATCAAAGGTCTCAAGCGTTTAGGGCTTAGACCAAGGTGACCGGTTCTCGAGGGTGAATCTCTCACAGCAAAGTAGCTTTAGATTGAAGTTTCATTCGCACCATCTCATCCCGCACCCCCCTTAGCAACAGAGCTCGTGCATAAACGCTCTCCGGCCCGATTTAAAGAGCGCTAGACTTCGAACGTCGCTCGCTCACGCACACGCCGGCTGGGCACGTACTCGCCACGGTGATGGTGACCTCCTGCTGCCGGCGCCCGGCCTTGTTCTCGGCGACGCACTGGTACGTGCCGGAATCGCCGGCACGCGCCGGGTCCAGCCGCAGCTCGCCGACGTCGGTGACGTGCACGCGACCCCCGCCGCCGCGGCCCGCGCCGATCCTCGCGCCGTCGCGCTCCCACCACACGGCCGGCGGGGGCTGCCCCGGCACAGGGCCGCACTGCACGCGCCGCGACGCGCCCTCCTGCACCGCCACCGCATCCAGCGGCACCAGATCGCCGATGTCTGGCGTGGGGCAGGGCGACGGGGAACACCCGACGGGTTCAACCGTGAGCCTCACGTCGTCTTCGTCAACAGTCGTCATTCAATCCCACTGATGGATGAAGGCCTCGCCAAGGCGTCGCCAGCTCTCACGGGTCCTGCAATGTACCAACACGCCTGGCACCCGCACTCACACTGAACGGATTTGAATCTCATTCACCGTCACGCCGGGCATCTGTGGCCTATGATCAGGCCTTCGGAGCAGTGTATATTGGCGCAGTCATATGAGTACCGAAATACACACGCGGAGGGGAGTCAGATAGTGTGATGCGCTTTCGCCAGATATTCACAGCCGTGCACGGGGCACACGGTGCAAGCTGTCATCACTGCCGCAAGGACCGAGGCGGCGAGTGGTCAGCGCAGCCAATGTGGTGAACATGGTGAGTGCGGCGAGACTGTGCGTGCATCGAGTGCGGCGAGTGTAACGATCGCAGTGAGAATGCCGAGTTTGGCGAGCGCGGTCAGAACGGCGAGTCTGGTGAGCGTGGCGAGACCGGTGAGTGTGGCGAGCACAGTGGGACCGCTGAGTGCGGCGAGTGCGGCGAGTGTAACGAGCATGGCGAGCGCGGTGGGACCGGCGAGTGCGCCGAGTGCGGTGCCGCCGACGCGGCCGTGCGAGCCTCACAGGCCAGCGCCAGCGTGGCCTCGGCGGAGGCCTCCTTCCCGCGCGCCCCCCGCGCCACGCAGCGGTACGCGCCCACGTTGCGCTGCTTCACTTGGGAGACGAGCAGCGAGCCGTTGGGGAAGATCGTGGTCCTGAAGGGCGGCACGGGGAGAGGGCGCGACGAGCTCGGTTACACTCGATCGATCGCGCCGCGCGTTCAACACGCACGTGGGGAGGGTGGGGGGTGGTTTACATGGAGGGAGAGAAGTAATGGAAGAGATCATTTTACATAAGATACTTACAAGGTCCCTGCCACTGTTCAGACCCAAGACCTTGCTGTTCTCCTCTGTCGTCGTCTCTCTCTAGAGCGTACACGTGGCTCACTGCTTTAGTGCAGCGTCTGTGCGCCGCTACGTAACTTCGCGTCGTGTTGCAATGTGTATGGTTGGTGGGTCGTGCAAACTTTCTGCTCATCTGCAAGGTGGCCAGCGGGTGGCAGGAGAGCAAATGTGTTTGCGAACCCATCCGTAAAGCAGGGCTGCGGGTGTTTATCCCCTCTGTATGGTGGTGGATTTCCTCCCACACGAAGCGAAGCACTCGTTATTTAGATAGGAGTTTGCCAAAGTAGCTCAGCGGTCAGAGCGTTGAGCTGGCACCGTTGAGTCCTGGGTTGGAATCCAGGTTCCAGCTGCCCGTGGTTAAATCCGGGTTCTCAAGTATTAAATGGTCTCAGTTCGGTCACCCAACGACTGCACAAAACAAACCCTGATCGCATTAAATTTGGTTGTACACTGAATTTGGCTAATTCCCAGCCGAGATTTTAAATTAACATTGAGTTGGCAGTGACACACAATGAGTATTACTGTCAGTGGCAAAGCACGTGGTAAAGGGCTGCCCCGTGCGGTGCAGACCAGAGGTCATGTGAAGGAATCTCAGGGAGCTCTGCGAGTTTTGCTTCCACCAGTGGTCCCTGTAACACGCCGGCTCGCACGGCTCTCCGAGTGGGATCCCTCATCTCGAGACGCGACACCGACAGCACCAACGCGGTCACGTTGAGCATTTTTTTCCCTTTTGTAACAAAGAATTGGCCAAACATCAGAAAGCAGCAGGACCCTCCCATACAAGTCTTGAGACTCTGTCAGGCTTTCTCCCAAACAGATTAATTATATTATTATTTTCCATAATTGATATTCGGGTTAGGGTCACTTAATGAGCACATTTGGCCACATTTGGCCACATTACTGTCGTAAGACCCACCACTGCCTGACACAGCCAAACAACGTGAATCAAGCGTACGAGCGTTGAACTACGTGCCAATTATCGTTGTTGCAGCTCACCCGCCGGTCAAGTGGGAGAACAATTCTCACAACCAGATTTAGCAATGAAAATAGGCGTAGCGTTCCCCTTCAAACTGCATCAAACATCATCAGAACAAGATCCAGGAATTCGGAATCAAATTCAGGAAGTCAATAATACTGGCTGCGAAACCTCCGTGAATATTAAGAATTGTAACTATTACGGTTATGACTCCTGACCGAGGCAGCGCTGGGCTTCTCACCGGGGCTTGTTGGTGATGGGCTCGCCGTTGAAGTACCAGATGGGCGTGGGGGGCGGGTCGGCCGTGAACTGGCAGTGGAAGAAGGCTGCCTCGTTCCGGCTCACCACCTGGTCCACCGGCCGGACAACCAAGCGAGGGACCGACACGTCTGGGGGGGGCGGAGAACGGGGCGGCACGGTCAAGAGGACGTGGCGTCACCTGTGTCAACACGGTTGGCTACGTACAGTGGGAAACGAGTTCAACATACATACATTGATACGACGTGCGATGCGCACGAGTAAAGGTGCAGTTTCGGATGTAAACACATTTAGGATTTTTTGGAGCTCTTTGGATCATTTACGGTTTAACCGTCGTCTTCGTGTTGACAAAGACGATGCCACCCAACGCCACATAATGCTGGAAAAGCACTGAAGTGACGCATCATGCGATGTGTCACGTGACCAATGCGATGGCAGTGTAATATGGAAAGGCCACATTACTATGGCGGGGTCCGGGACGACCACTGGTAACATGCCGGGCGGCCGACACGCCATCGCTCACGATGAGCCGACTCGCAGCAAGTGATGGGCCCCATCCCATCTCGTGGAATAATTATTTATTTCAAATCAATTGAATGATGTAATGCGTCTGGAAATTGGAATTCCCATCGCAAACCCATCTGTGTCAACGTAATTGTTGAGGAATGCAAAGCGTCGGGGGCGCCGATCGATGCCAAGGTCATAATTTCTGTCAATAAAATACCTGGCACCAGTTCCCCGGCCTCCAATCCCATTGCAGCCCGTGCGCTCAGAAGGATAATTAAAGCGCGGAGGCGCTGCGACTGCATATTGTAATGAGGTGCCACGCGCGAGCAGCAAGGGCGATGAATGGGGACGGAAGCAGTCCTACGAGGGCTGCCACTCCAACACGCCCAAGAGCCCCTTATTAGCCTGTTCGTGGGCACAGCAAGCACACGAGCCAACGGGTCTCGCACACCGGTGTCCCGCCGGGTAACGGGTCCCGAATGGAGGTTCATCATCGATCATTATGGGGCCTGGCCGACGTGGCCCAGCGGCAGCGCGTCCGCTCGCTTGTTGCAGAGGTTTGCGGTTCGAACCTAGTGGCAGGCCACGATGCTCGAGGCTAGGGCGTGCGTATTAACCTTGCAATGCTACCGTCTACATCACGGTGGACATTGGAAGGTCCCGTGACGTCACTCGAGGAAACAGTTCGGACATTGCGTGCCAGCTTCATCTTACAAATTTTCCCAATTTGAAAAATGAAACCGTAAATCAATTAATTAGGAAACTGCTGGATGAAGGCCCCCCCCCCCCCCTATGCTGTCGCCATCTCTTTCTCTCAGTCTCGCGATGCAACAATCCATCTGGTACCTGCGCACGAGCCAATCTCTTCGCTCCATCTCCGCGGTGAACGTCAAGCATAACATGTGCGATTGCGTGCGTACATACATGCCGAGACTATGGAATTAACATATCGGGTTGGTGTGTTCCTATTATAACTATTCACCCCCCTACCCCCATCCCTTCCATCCCTCCTGCGCCCCCACCACCCAACCACACCAAAGCAAATTAATTGTCACGACTTTATGACGCTATAGAATGGACGAATGATTTGTCTCGCATTTACTGCATGGCTTGCAATGTTCATCGTTCGTCCTGAATGCAGTCTTGTTCCCTTCATTAGCCTACCGAGTACCGACTTGCAATTCCATATGACTTACATTAATCAATGCTGCAAAAATATATAATCGATTCGCACACGCACAAACCAATGCATTTAACGTGAGCGTAATGATCGGTTTCTGAATTGACGTATCGCGACATGCCAAGCCACCGTGCTAAGGTTGAGGTGGGAACTGTCTTGTGGTGAGACAGTACGCGTTTGGGTTAAAATTATATATGTCAATGGCAAAATAATCAGTATCATCATGTGCAAAGTCAGCAGCATCACTGGCAGCAGCATAACCACCAATACTGCAGCAACATCAGCAAAAGCAGCAGAAGCAGCAGCAGCTGCAGACACAACAGTAACAGCAGAAGCTGATGCATCAGTAGCCATAGCAACAACAGAGGCAACATCAGAAGCAGCAACATCAGAAGCAGCAACGGAAGTAGCACCACCATCAGCAGCAGAAATAGCAGCACCGGCAGTAGAAACAGCAGCGGAGCAGCGATCCTACCGTAGAGGTCGAGGGTGAAGTTGGAGACGCTGCACATGCTGCCCATGAGGTTTTGACCGCAGCACGTGTACGCGCCATTGTCGGCGGCGCTCACGTTGCTCAGCGTGAGCGAGCCGTCGCGACTCGGCACCAGCCGTGCGTCGGCCTGCAGCTCCACGCCGTCGCGCAGCCACTGGTAGAGCGGCCTGCATGCGGGGGGGGGGAGCAACAGCAGCTCCTGTTATAACGCGGCGCTTCCACGTCTCCTGAGACGGCAGGAGCGAAGGGGGGGGGGGGGGCTGGGGGGGACACTGCGGGCCACGGGGCGTCCATCTCACGCGGCCGGTTCGCGACTTAATTTTAATCGACTTCATGACGTACGGCCGTGACCTCATTTCGCAGAGACCCGCTGATTTGTACACACACCAATATATTTGCACGACAGCCATATACAGCCTCTCTCTATATATAAAGTAAACATGCCCACTGTTCCTATTCAGAATCTTGAAATGCAGTCGCAATAGTACCCCGTATGCATGTTGAACTTCTTTCGCACTGTACAAAGCCAACCGTGCTCATTGGAGGTGCGGGGTTATAAATCCACGATGCACCGCACGGCGACGCAAGCGACCGCACGGGAGAGAGAGCGGGACAGAAAGAGAGAGGGAGAGAAACCAGGGCCGACAGCAACGCCGGCCCCGTGACCTCTCACCGGTGATGCCCCTCGATGTGGCAGTGGAGCTTGATGGACGACGACACCTTGATGTCCTCCCGGCTGACGGGGTCGTCCAGCGTCACCCCGCCCGTCTCGATCCCTGAATGGCGGCATAAACGGCAGCGCAACGCGCGTCACGACTCGGCGCCGTGCGGGGAACGCGGCCCGCAGGCTGCGCTCCAGCCGCGGTGGCCGAGCGCTAATGCACAGAGACGAGAGGTCGCATCCGGATAATTGCAGGGTTTTGGTGGCAGCTTTAATCTCGACGCCGGCGGGAGGTTGACAAGAGCCGGGTGGGCCGGTGGAGCGGCTGGCCGAGCATCTCCGTGCCGCGGGCCACGCTTGCACGTGGACCGTGCGCGCATTACACGTTTCACGTACGGCTCTTACTGTCGATCCACCGCTGGATGAGGGCCTCCTCTACGACTCTTTTTCAGGAGGGTCCTGGCGAGTTTTCCCCGTAGGGGGCGATGATTCCTGTGCGTGATCCCAACTGTTGTAATTTGCGGTGGAATTTTTTTTTTTTTAAATTTGCCAATATTTGTGTTGACCATGGCGCCAGCGCACGGTGGCGTTACTCTTGCGAGGATGACGTCACGGGATCTTTAACGTCCACTGTGAAGCGGACAGTTTTTTTACGGTTGATTCACTCGCAGTGGTAACCAGGGGGCAGCCACTGGGTTCTAACCGTGAACAGGCCACGGCGAGGTCACGTCACGATCTGGTGATGGCGTGGGAGCATCGATGCGAATGCATAGCAGTACAGTACAACGAAGGATTACACTACACCGCCCTCTGCTGCTCACAGGGTAACCCCGTGGCCTCTAGCACCTGTTTAATTCAAGGTGATCACCCATCCAAGTGCTATTAAGGCAAAAGCCTGCTCTAACTTAGGAGATGGAACAAGATCATAGGCATTCACGCCATAGGAATGGGGAATTTCCACTACGGGACGCAGAGAAGTACACCTCCGATTAGCACTGTTGGCTATGTATGGTGCGAAAGAGGTTCAACATTACACACATGCATACATAGAGGTCGTCGTGCTCAGGATACGCGGACTGAACCGCGCGGAGGAAAACCCATGACTTATAATTATGTACGCAAATCACACAAGACCAATTTGTCCATGCAACAATCGAGGCCGGCAAGCAGAACAAAATCACGCAAAACAAGAGACCAAACATAATTAATTCCCGAGTAGAATCTCAAACCCCCAAATCGCGACGATTCATCAAATGGCTGATGGAATGGGGGCGGGTGAATGGTACACGCCCGGCGGATCCCACACCCGCCACTCGCATCCCCCGTCTACTTGAGCACGCTGCTCTGTATCAGTCTCAACATCGACATCCATGCCCCCCCCCCCCGCCCCCTCGTGTGTCCTTTAACACCTCTCCGTTACATAACGTAACGTTGTCTCCACCACCGCAGCATTTGCGTATTCAATTCATCTGCGTTAACTGCGCGCGACAGAGGCACGCAGCAGAGCGATCGTTTGCGTTTAGCGTTTGGGCGATGATTGGCGACGGCCTGAGGCTCTGACATCAGACGGAGGAGGAGGAGGCAGCGGTGGCATCTCATTGAAACTATGCAAGCGCTGCCGTAATAACCATGCTGGGAAGCACCGTCAGCACTGAGGCTGACAGTGCTCATCTCCTGTGTACACGCCAGAGCCAGTGGTGGAAACTCCACATTCCCATGGTGGGGGGGGGGGGGGGGGGCGAGTCGATACGCGTGGATAATCCCGTGCTGCGATTTTGCCGGCGTGATTGACGGCACGGCGGCCGAGGCCACGGCGTGGATCGCTTCCCAGAACACCCACGCCAACGCTGGCTCTACTCCTCCAGCGGGTCCAGCGAGATAAAAGGGAGTCGCCGCGTCGAGTGGGTGACTCCCTCCCTCCTCCTCCTCGCCGCTCGACCCCGATATTAAACAAAATTAAATTAAATTAAACGCGTTCACTGGGCTGCAGGTCTCCCGCCCGCCCATCCCCACGGGGGAGGAAAAAACAATGACAAAGAGAAAAGTTGTTTGTGGACTTAATAAGATGCAGCGCAAAAACAAACGGCCCTTATCTATTCGATAAGCAGCGGGCCTGGGCTGTGTGTGCTGCTGGGCTGTCCTGCAGCAGTGTGAAGCCGCGGTAATGTGGAAAAAGACTTTCGAGTGACTCTCGGGTGCAACCGCCGTACAGCGTTGTAGCAACGTCACTGCAGTGTGACTGCCGCACATTTTTTATACGGCGTCGCAGTCGTGGATTTACAACCGCTCGCCCGTCAAAGTCGCTTTAAGGACATGGTTGTCTTATTATTATTGTTGCTAATGAGACTTGGAACTTGCGTTGGGACACGTTGAGACAACGCGGCCCAGGTCCCCGTGTAGCCGCCTTAAAGGCAAGACGAGCCTTCCCGGTTGGTTACTGGGATGCTGTCGTTGGTTGAGACAGAGCGATTGAGCGTGCTCAGGCGGGCGACGGAAATCATCGCCTATACTCCCCTCTGCGAGGTGCGGCACCTCATCCACGATCGAGCCGGAAGGGTAGGGGAGCCAAATTGGTAGTGTCAAGGGGAAGAGCCGGAGCCAGATAGTGCTCGTGATGAGACAGTGCTAAGAGAGCTCTCCTTGGAGGTCAGCTGTCATTATACCTGCGACTGTTATTACACTTGTTTAACCAAGACTCCTCCTTCCTGTCAAGATTTCTCAGTCGGGGGCGATGTTGCTATATACGATCCCAATTGAGTAATTTGCAGGTAAACGTTCAGAATTTGGATGTGTAGCCAATACCAGTTACATTGAATGTTTTTAACTATAGCAGACCAGAAAACTCAAAGAGGAAATCCATGCAGAACAGGGGAATAACAAACAAAATGCACAAGAAAAGGTGCACATGTTGGGTTTCGAACCCAGGCCCTTCTTGTTGCAAGTGTTACCACTACGCCACCCTGCCACCCCGATGATTTTGCAAACAACCACAGGATCAAGCAGAAGGAAGCGATGGCGGAGGTGTGGTCTCCTCGGCCGTTGGGGCGCGGGTCTGCTTCAACACCGCCCCTCTGAGAGGTTTACGTAAAAAAAAAAATCGCAAACGCCGCTAATTCACGTTATGCAGCCGCTCGGACATGTTATGGGAGTTTCCTGGTACAGAATTTACAAGCGTTGCATTGCCCCGGAGCTCCGTGATGGCGGCACAAGAGAAAGGTGCGGATAATTTATTGCCCGACTAAGGAAAACATTTAACTTTTTCCGTTCGCAAAAAAACCCATAAAACAAATCCGCCATCATCCCTGGACGCAATCGCTCCGCAGCCGAGGACGCCCGGTGAGAAATGGGGTGGGTCGACAGGAGGGCATCACGCGGACCGTTTCATCTCAAACGGCGTGGGGGAAGAGAGAGGGAGAGGGGGAGGGGGGCACAACCTCCTCCGCGCCGCCGTGAATTCTCCAGCCTCTCCCACGAATGCTCGGGCCGACAGAATCCAGGCGGTAAAAAAAAAACTCCCACCCAGCCCTGCCATGGAGCCGGGACCACTTAATTAAACACCATCGCTCTCCTTCGCTCCAGATGCGCTCAATCACCGCGGCTCAACAGCTGCTACCTCCTGCAGCCGCTAACATCAAAACATTTGCGGGGAACGCTTGACGGAGCAAGAATTTATGCTTTCCCGTGTTTTTACAAGGACGCATTAACGAGACGTACAGGGCCATCCGTAAAAACGGCGTGCGCGTGCCTGCCCCGACGTTACCATGCACAAAGACAAAGGTACCCCCCCCCCCTTTACAGCCTTTAACGGACCGTTGAGGCAAGTGCTACTCACAAGCACCTATGGAAGGAGACATGGCACAAGAGGGGGTGGGAGGCCAGCACCACGGCCGGCCGCCTTTGTCTGCCCAACACTGATGTTTACACCCCATACCAGGTACTCACTTTAGGCCGAGTGGACCTAGGGGTAGCCCAGGAACAGTTTATATATCCCTCACTGACGTTGGTCACGAGGGGGAATTTAACGCGCGTCACCGGATTCCTAGCGCAGCGCAAACTATCGGTGCATAAAATGAACATTGTCAATCGTCCATAGTCTACACAATGTTGAATAAAGGCCTCCCCACGCCATCGTCATCCCTCCCTTGAGTAAGAAACCGCCAGAATCCGTCTCACTCCCGCACACGAACCGCTCTCATCGCTCCATCTCCGTAGCGGCTCACCCCCGGGCAGGTGTTTCCCCCTCCCCCCCCACCCGTGGCGCGACGATACGTCTCACTGAAGCGAACGGCGAAGGATCGGCGCGCTCTGCTTGAACAGCGGCCGGCGGCGGCGCGCCACCGTCACCGCTTTTCGCGAAGATCTGGGGCGTGCGTTAAACGGCGGGCGGCGCCGGGGGCAGCGGTGGAAAATATCCCAACGCAAAAACAGACGTGGGGAGGAGGATTTTGGGCGATTCCGTTGTAAACCCCAGCGTGCCCGTGACACCGCGGCCTCGTGTCGACGCACGTTCTCGCCTCTAATTAGGTAGAGCGGTGGGGGGGGGGGGGGGTAGGGGTGCTGGTTAAGTTGGCCTTGTTTCCGGCGTCCAGAATAGCACGCAAACGACAGCCAGGGGCAGGAAGGAAATGCTTTCGCTCTCCGTGTTAGCGTGCAGCTGTTGCCTTCGTGCCAGAGACGGCCGCCGAGGGACCCCCGACGAGACCGGCTGTCTGCCCTGCAGCAACGCGGCTCAGACACACAACACAGACTGTGCAGCAGCAGCAATACGGATTATAGCCGGTCCGGTAATGATAGACACACAGAGAAACGATCCACGCAGCAACGATACTGCACGAGACAGCCCGTGCAACAACAATGCTTACACGCACGGCCGGCATAACGTCTTTCATGCTCTGCCTTAATGGGAACGTCCTTGGCTGCCATCTTCTCTGCTCTCTGGCCCCCCTCTATGCTTCCACAAACGACCCCCCCCCCCCCATCCTTTAGGTCCACCAGCGTCACGACGATCCTTGGGCCTTCCACTCCATCTTTTCCTTTCCATTCGCACTTCTGTACCAGGCGAGTTAACATCTCGCCACCATGGCGCCCTTTGTCAAGGCGTCGCCAGCTATCAGC